AAACGTTAAAAACATGTTTTAATACATACAAAATTGCTTCAGATTTGATTTAAGGTAATTTTAGCACTTCAAGCTCACACATGGGTCATTCTGCTACCACTTTCCCCTTGCCTACCCCTGCAGGGCATGCACTGGGGAAATGCAAACCACTGCCTTGGTGTGCCCTAGAACAGAAACAGTCTCCAGCAATTCATATGTTTGAATCACAGAAAGGGCCGAAGGAGACAGATTTTACCACTGTGAGTTCACATGCTCCACCCTGGCACTGCCCTTTGCTGCCCCATGCATTTATTTATACTGGGATCTGTATTAGGGGCTCGCCTGTGGCAACACTGAGCCATTCCTACTGGGTTAAATTTAACCTAGATGGCATCAAGCTGCCAGTCTGGCTCTCCAGATGGCTATCTATGTAAATGCTTATACTAGCAGTGCATGACTGCTTCCAGGAACAGCACCAAAGCTAAGGTTTGTGAAAATGTGGCACTACTGACTCAAGCAAACAAGCCAAAATGTTGACTGTTAGAGTGAAGTTACTGGGGAGGGAGGAAGAGAGGGAAGCAGCTCCCCCTCCTCAGAGACCATGCAGATGCACAGCAGAATTTGGCTAGTTCAAAGCATGACACATGACCTCTAAAGTATACATGAATCTGATTCCCTCGAGCAAGTGAAACAGGTTTCATTTATAACTACTGCTTGGCTGCTCCAAGTGTCAAAATATTACTTGCTATCATTTGACATAAGTTGCAGTAAACCTACTGTACAAATCCAATATTTAAAAGCTCTTAAAGCAAGTTGGTTCAACTGTATGTCACACAGGACTGTTGTAAGGGATGTGTCACAGTTAAAGGTGTAAGTTAAGAAAAGCAGTTAAAATGACATTGATGTTTACTATGGGATTTGGATTTTCTTAAGGTACCTATACACCCATTAAAGCATAACTATAAACCATGAATAAATACAAGTTAATTTGTAGTTTGAAAGAAAACAAGTCACTTTTGTAAAGCTCCTTCTTCCCATCTTCAAACGTACCTGATTTTCATTATGCACCTCTATACAGTCAGAAAGCCTACCTCCTTTTTAGCATTTATGTGTAGAGCAAGCTAATATTAGGTTTTTAAGTTTAAAAAATTTCCTTTAAAAAAAAATTCACACATTCCCTTTTTTAGCATAGAAACGTGCACAGTTTTGCTCAGAGTAGCTACATTTCCTGTCTAGTGAGTTGATCAGTTTGCAGTTTTCTTGCAAAAGCTGTATCACCTTAACAGTTTTGACCAGTGAGACATGCAGATCCTAACAGGATTCTTTGGTATAATGACAAATTCAGTAGTAAACCAGCATTTCCAATCTTTATGCATCAACTGAAATAAGCAGAATTATCACAACTGGTGACTGAAATGTAGATGAACAGAAGTCTTTGGTTGCATAAAAACAATTTCTACACTGTAACATTTCATAGTTTCTTTTCATTTAGATATGTCACAATGATACACTTATTTCCTGAAGTTTGCTTATAAAAAACAGTACACTTACTGAAGTCAAATGCAATTTTGTTATAAATGCAGTGACATGAGACACTGAGTCAATTTTAATGTAATTCCCTTTCATTTATGATTTCTGGACTTTTAATTTCTTGTTCCCTTTTCAAAAAGGAGTATTTTTCTTCTAGGCCCGAATGAAGCAGCTTAGCAATACAGTAATACTGACAACCAGCATCTTACACCATTAGCTAAACATTACAATGAAGGCAGTGAACATTTACAGTATGAAACATTAATATGTCATCAGCTGAAGTGAAGATTTATGTCAATCCAATTTCTTCAAGTACACTACGTGGGGTCTCTGCTTCCTATGGAGGGAAAATAGGAGACAGTGGTAAATGCACCCTGCACTTCTGTTAATAGTACCATATACGAGTTGAGTTAGTATGAAAAATGCGTAATTAAAGAAAAGCTGAAAGGCATGATAATAGAGAAGTATTGCAGTTTGCAAACACAGGATTAGCTTCAATTTTCAAAGTACTGATTATTAGATTGCCGGGGCTCATAGGAATCGCTGGTAGATTTTATTGCCCTTAAGTGCAATAAAACTAAAGCAATTCAGATGTACCAGTAGGGAACAAATCACAACCCAGTAACAAAGACATGAACTGGGGACACATGGGGAAGCATCTTGCAATGGAGTCACTGATTTTTGTGGTGAATTTTTTCATGGATCTCAAAAATCTGTTAGGGAACAATGAATAAATGGATGAATGAAATGACTGATGCAACTAAGGCACAGTATCCCTTAAGCTTTTCATAGGAGATCAGATTTTTTGATTTATTTTTTTTTTAACTGTTCCTATATGTAGTACATAAAACCAGGACAAGGTACTTGTCCAAGAATTGACCCTGGCAGAAGTGGAGGAATTGCCAGGATTGGAATGGTATTATTCCACACCAAGCATAAAGTTTTAAATTAATTCTAACCTTAAATAACTTTGTTTAGATTCAGAACAATTTGTTTAATATAACAATGCAAAGGGTTATCATCAGTGTTGTAGTCATTATTCCTATAGCATCTGACAAAAAATTGTAGTTTAATCAGAAATACTTAGGCTCTGCTTTTCCATAATTATTAACAATATCAAAAAGGGATACTGTGTCCTTATGGAAACAAACAGGTTTAGTATCCACAGTCTGAATAAACTTACTTTAGCATCCTAAACCAAGACATGTCATGAAGCAGAAAAAAAAGGCAGATAACAGTTAAGGCAGCAAATTATTTTTCAACTGCTTTCTAAATATTAGAAAAACACTGTCAGCAAAATATATAATTAAATGTCTTAGATCTTGCATGTAACACCAAAACATCATCTTTATCAACCCTGACTGTAGCACAAAATGATCAAGTTCACAATCCTCATTCAGTTCATGTATAAGGCAATTTTAGAATTGAAAGAACAAGCCATATTTCAAAGGCAACAGTCAGTGCCTGGAACAGGCCACCTCTGAACACTTTGAGATGGCTTCCAAAATCCAGCAGCAAATAAGAAATGGCAAGGAAAAACGAAAGTTAATACTGGAGACAAGATACTTGTATCTTATATTAACGATGTCGTTTTTCCCACTGATGCAATATTTATTCTTAGAGCTGCAGTGACCTTGAAAAAGCCAGAGAGAATGGCAGGATTAAAGATTTGCATGTGTATTTTAACACAAATCCCCCAAAAGAGATACTGATTGAAGAAAAGGCTTTGTAGCATTTTTAATATAACCTGTCGTATTGTATTACCAGATTACTCTGTTGCATTCATTTTAGGGGACATGCATCTCCCCTATCTACCAACTTAAAACATTTTACTCAAAAAAAAACCAACCCAAAACAACACCCAACCCAAAATCCTACACTAACTATAGCAACAGAAGTGACAACAAAGTGTAACTTCTCAGGCATTTCAGGGTCTTGAAAACACTTGTACTAAAACAACTTCACAATTTTAAATTGATTAGACAACAGTGGATACTTACAGATACTCAGTGGTAAGACACAATATTTACTAAATGACCTGAGGAGTTGCTTGATAGCTATGAAGAAACACAGTTCACTGCTGCTACTGTCTTCAGGAACAGTACAGTATTACTGTCTCCACTGCCAATTCAGAGTTGTGGGTAACTTTCAGCAGGCATATACTTAAAGATTAAATTTCTTCAAGAATATCAAGGTAATTGGCTAACAATTAACTTAAAATAATGTATTTCAAGTACATTGGCTACTTGCCCACAGGTCTCTCACCCTAAAACTCTGTGAGATTTTAATTTTTTAATACTACAGCAGTAACCTTGAGGCAGACATGCCTTCTTATTCGCACAGCAACAATACAATCTCAAGGAACACCTAAAGGCTAATGTGTTTTGTTAGAGGAATTATTTCATCAATTATGACTTTTACGAAACAAGTAGGATGAATTATGTTTTGTTCATGTTATTTGTTTTAGGAAGTGTCAAACATTTTAGCCAATTGTTATGGAAAGCATTCTGTAGCATTATACACTACCTGCAGCTCAGAATCACCCCAGGCAAACAGTGACAATTTGAAATATATCAGAACACAGATGAGGAAAAAGTCATTCACATGAGACGAAAGTGCATGCAATACTTTATTTCAAACATGCCAGGAAAGCTAATTCATTACCTAGTCAATTAGAAGCAAGCAGCTGTATACAGATAACAAGAAAAACAGCATCTCATTACAGCTCAATGCACATCATTTTAAGCCAACACGCATGAAATAATGCAGGCTAAAGCAGCATTAACCAGACATTCAAACACATTGTTAATGTCTTACAGAAAAAAAGGCAAACTTTGAAGCGGAAAGCCACTCCTATGATCTTGTTTTCTAAGACTTCAGAATGCTGCGAGTCCAATCCAGATCTTTTGTCTAATCCCCTAAATCTCACATTTCTCTGTCAGTTTAACATTTAAAAGATAGTGCATTACCACATACAGTACATGCAACTAGCTGCGGTTAATCTCAGTAACCAATTTCTTGCTAATTAAATTTTAAGCAACTTTCAAAACCAGCACTCGTTTTAGCTTACAAATTATTCTCCTCTTCTAGGCAAACAGAGGATGCAATACATGCCCTCTCCCTCTGCCCCTGCTTTTTAATTGAATGGCACTTATATTCATCCTTGTGGCAGTTCTCTGATACACAAGGTAGTCTGCACTTAAAACTGGAAATGCCAGTTGAAGGTGACATTTTTCAAGTATGCTGTAAATGGACTTAAAAGAAATGATTTTTCTAACCCTAGCCATTTGTGAAGCAATGAGCTTGTTCTCTCCTTCAGTAGCAGCAATTGTTCAACTACTCACAAGAGTGTTTGAACAATTAAACACAAACTTTGCAACTTCAGATTTACCTGTCATTCCTTTTGCCCGTATCAGTTCTGCCTTCCTCCTCTTTATAAGGAGGTCTCATTAAGTATACTGCTGTGCACACATTTAATTGCGTGTAACATCATTTAACATTTGTGTGTTTACACAGTTTGCATACTACTACTTCATTAGTTTCTCTGTAAATACTAACTTCATCTACGGGTTTTAAGTATGTTTAAATACCACCACAACTTATTTGCAAGATAAACACAGGTCAAGTAATGTTACAGTATAGGTGTTGCAGTATATAGATATTTAGCTCGGAAAATTCTACAGAACTTTTAAGCATAAGACTTCAAGCTTACACATAAAGTTAAAACCATATGCCAACAAGCACAAGTTCTGTTGAAAAGAGACATGTGAAGAGACAATACTGTAAAACAGAAGGGGAAGAGGGAAGTACAACAGCAGAGAATGGTTGTGGCATTCTGTTAGATTCAAGATGACTGGATTCACCAAGCTGATGATAATGTCCTGTCATGAGTAAGTCACAGGTCTATCTCCTCTGAAATTCTGCATGCATGATGAATGAAGCCATTTAGTACACTGGGACATTAAAGTATTCATGACGTGGCTACAAAAGAAATGTACATATTCTTATACATAATAGAAAGGTGGAGAGATATGCAAGGAAACAAAAATACTATCTCACTATTGTTATCTCTGACATGGAAAGGACATTTGAGACATAAATACAATACTGTATTTTCTGACTACTCTAGACTTCTGGGGTGGGGGACAACACATGACACCATCATTTTACCCCCCCATACTTGCATTTTGGGTCCAACAACATACAGGATAACTTCATAATTACTATATTATGAAAGTTCAGTCTTTTCTCTGACAAAACTTATCTGAAGCTGAGATACTGTTCCAAGAGATGGACCACCCTATGTATTTGCTCCATCTAGCCTCTTTGGTAGACACTATTGGCTGCTGTCAGAAACAGCCCAGGCAGTGGGCTAAGTGAAGTTTTGACATCACACACCAAATCTGCTCTAATAAACATGGATTGCTTACAGGCCTCTAGAACACAGTTGTAAGCAGCACTGTGGCAGGGTAGTACAGCAGTGGTGTTACTTGGCATTGTTTGTAAAAGAGGCCCTGTTTGAAAACCAGGAGCTATCTCAGACATGCCTCTTATCAGAGTTTCCTTCACTTTTGAATTATACCACCTAATACTTTTGTTTCATTAGCATGAACATTAATATGCAATTTGTTGAAAGATGAGTTAGAAAGCAAGCAACACTCAATTTTCTGTATTAAAATCAGTGCCCCAAAGACAGATGAGGATATTTTTGATGGAGTAACAGCAATTTAGGAGTATGCCCCTTACACGGCTAGCAGGAATGGGGCGGGGGGCGGGTTGGGGGGTCACAAACCACAACTTTCTGCATACCAGTTACTGATCTTTCATGATGTACCAATTAAAATCTTCAACCTATTTTAGCATCCCACTCCCAAAATTACAGAACTGTTACAAGACTTCTAGACCTAAAAATTTCTTCTGTGTTATCTCAGTTTATTCACACATTAAAGCTTACATATTTTCAAATTCTAATCTCCAATTACAAAAAAGCACAAGAATATCTTAGAAGATTTATGGGATTTATACTGCTTTTCACTATCAGTAATATGGACATTATCCCACAGTAGTTAAAAGTTACTCTGATCAAGCCAAATACAAATCCAGTAGTTCACAAAACTATAGCACCTAATGCCGAGTGACAGTCACAAATACGTTACAAGAAGCCTGCTGTGATGATTTTTTTTTTTTAGGGTAAAATTCAGAAGAATTTGGTGTACAATAGAGAACACAAATAATAGAGAATTACCAATGTGAATTTTTACTCTTAAAACCTCTCATATTGCACTTAAGTGTCAGCTTAAATTAAAAACGAGATATTGAGGCATATTACTAACTGGAAAAGGCATTGCATAATAGGTAACATAAAATACTAGGCCAAGAAATACACTGTTGGCATGATATGTATTCATGAAGACAATTCATGTCTTCCAGTGTTTCACACCCTTGGAAACCTGGAACCAGCAAAGTTGGTGTCTTCACTGAAATGCCTGGCAACAGATTTCACCTTAATTTTACACTAGCTCTCTGGTCAGGAAGTAGGAGAGCAGCTCACTCTCTAGCACTCTTACAAAGTTGATTACAATTCATTCTTGGTGTGTTCAAAGATTATCCAAGGGCTGCACACACCATTTAGCACACTTCAGCCTGGAAGTGCTGACCACGTTCCATTTTACACCACTGGTTCAAACTAAAAAGGACATGGAAGTCTTTGTTTCATGTTAACTCACCTGTTACCTTCCAGTACTTTGCGAAGTTCTACCGCCCCACACACCCCTATGGTATTCCCTGCCCTATGCATATTTTCAGTGGTTTAGAACTTCAGGCATTAACTGTCTTTGATGAGAAAATCCTGGTATACAAAATTAAATGATCAACTCAAATTACTGTTACGGGATTAGTGTCTTGACAGAAAATTATTATCTACTGATAAAGCAAGATGAATTGTCAGGTAATTATAGGACGAAAGTGGTTTTTTTGCTCCTGAAGGCTTTTTAGTTTATAGACCATGTAAACACCACCTGCAACTAAACTAGCAATATTCTAATACTGTAGAGGTGAATCTAAAAGATTAAATGGAAGACAACAATAACTGAAATATGAAGTCATAACAGCAGTACAGTGAGATGGAAAACACTGCAGTTTCAGTAAGACCTCTGAGGAGAACATCTGAGACCATCATGCACAGAGGGTCTGCCACTATGGGCTGCCTGACAAACAACAGAAAGGAAAATAAGGGTTTGATACATTATTTTCCATCACAGAACTACAGTATCTCACAAGCTGCAACTACGATTTGTTAATTTTGGTTTGGTTTTCTGGTTTGGGTTGGGTGGTTTTTTTTTTTGTGAGGTTTTTTGGTGGTTTTTTTTATTATTATTAGTAGTAGTAGTAGTAGTATTTTTATTTTACTGTGTTCCCTGCCACATTGTCTCCAGAGCTAGCCTGCTAGTCTGAATACCAGAAAAGACAATTTGGCTGAAAGGACATGGCAGTTTCTACAACCAGTATCTAGACCTTGTCCACCTTCTGTGAGATTCTGCAGACCTCAAAACATCTGAGCCTGCGAAGCATGTCCTTAAGACAGTCAGCTATCTGGATCTAATGAATTTAGAAATGAGTTGATCTAGCAGCTAGCAAAGAGGCAGCAGTATCCTTACAGCACAATACAATGGCAAATTAACATGAAATACTACCTCTGAAAAACTATCACTTAAAAATTTACACATAAAATGTTTACTTGACTTTAACACATAGATAGGTCTTAGATCCCAGCTTTGCCAAAACAGTAATAGCTCTACAGTACAAGCTGCACATTGCAATTCCACAGTATTTTAAAGTTACTAGAATTCATCTTTTTCAAACTGACACCTGTGTTTACTCCTTTTAAAAAGCTAATACTCTCTGAAATTGGCAGCCTGAACCATTAGATTTTTAAATTATAAAAATGCTAGAGTTGATTGAAGTCAACAGACCATTTAGCTAGCCCATCCCAACTTTTTCCTCAGCCAACTTTGTCATGACCCAACCTAATTAAAAATCATAATTAAAACTAAAATTAGAAGTGACTTCATTTAATCCAGTCCCCCAAACAGCATACCTACAACATCCCTGAGAGCTATTTAATCTGGTAAAGGCATCCAGTGATGGAAACTTTTCAATGCCCTCCAAACAATCTACTTAAATGCTTCATTATCATCACCACTGGAAAATTTGCCTAACATCTACTTGGAATTTATTTTCTTGCTGCAGTTTAAGCTATTTCATGTCTGTAGTGGACAAGAAAACAGTTTATAACGTCAGGCAAGAGAAAGACACATAATTTTTTATGCCTACACCAAACTGACCTAAGTTCAGTGTTTTGCAATGCTGCCATATTACTGACAACATCATAGTGACACAGACTTCATGAGTAGTTGTCATGCCTTCTTTTTCAGGGAAAGTTTGCTTAGGTTTTTATTTTAACTTCTTTCCCATCAAAACCAGCACAAAGTCTATGAAGGCAATCCATGTTAAGCTGCAGGCAAAAATTACAACTGTTACCTTTTGATAAAGGATTGGCTACCCCCCTCTCTCAGCATCTAAACAAATCCCAAGCTAGAACCCCAGACAAGATGTGGGGCTGCAGAGTGCACAGCAGTTTGGGAATAATTCTACAGAAACAGGTTATGGGAAAGAGAGGAGGTGCAAGGGCTTCTATTTAGAAACACAAAATTCTTCCAGTAGGAAGAAACTGACACTTAAGAAGAACATTTTTAGCAATGCTTCAGAAGCAACTACTTTTACACTCTCATTCTGAAGCTTCATTAGGAAATATTTCTAACAAAAGCCTGCTTTAGGAAATTTCTGCTGTTCACTTGCCTCTTCCGGGATTTCAAAACAGTAGAGTGCCCATTTCCCAATCCTTGGTTCGCTAACTATTCAGAAACGCCAGTTACACGGTTATTGAGAAAACTCTACTTTGAAAGGAGTGCAAGATGTATCCTCAGAGAACCTAGAAACACCCATGAGGTCTTGAACATGTTCAGAAACAAATATTAACTATGATGCTGTTCAAAACCAAAGTACAATCCTACATCAATGCTAGCTCCAGGTCAAGATCTTGCCTGCAGCTTCCTATACAGAGAACAAAAAGAAGAAATCTTCAAGAATGGTGTACATTAGTGAACACAATACTCAACCAGTGTCTGAAACAGCAGCAGCTGTCATGCAAATGTTACTCAGCAAAACACCCTACCATGTGCAAACACTTTGGCTCTGAAACATCACCCCAACAGACCAGAGCAGAAGGGCATGATATAAGATAAGCAGTGGCCAGCCTGCCTGCCACCTTCTCAAAAGCAGGAGTAAAAATATCAGTGAAAACTTCATGTAGTGTAACTGGACGATAGCAGATACTTCCTGCTTCTTAGTTGTTATTCCAATCTGCTGGATCATAGGTGGTAATCTCTCCAGGAGACAGTGGTTTATACCTGCCAATCATTTGCTACACAACAAGCTATGAAGAACTGACAATCTAATTTTTAAAAGGTAAGGATGGTTCTAAGCATCCACTGAAGGCTCTACTTCCTCACCACAAAAATCACAAATGCTTCAAGCAAATACTACTACTGAATACTTATTGTAAAGCTAGAGCCAAAACTATTACAAACCACCAATATCTCCACCAGATAATCTCACAGCATCTGTATATTCAGCAGTTTGCCAAACTACACAGGTAAGGTTTCATTAATGTTTTCTTCCAGCATTGCACATACAAATTTACATTACTTACTCCCCTTAAGGACCACTTCTTAAACTGCACGGTTGTATCTCTGAAGGTATGACCAGAATATACTGCTATAACAAACCATGCCATGGCCAGTATCATTCAGCTTCCATGGCAATGGCATTTAAGCATTGTCCTTCCTTCTTGTTCTGCAGCATTTTACCTTCTAAGAGTTGTTTGGACAAATGTTTGCAGGGCCAAGTTATAAACACAGAAAACCTGCTGGCTATATGTTTTTAGAAATAGGCAATTTAAATTGGATCAGTTTAAATGGATCTGAAATCTAGTTCTAGAATGGTCACATAAATAGTTTCCCTGGCACAGAAGGTATGAGGGAGGGAAAGGACAACTGAAAACTCCCTAAGGTAATACTGCTGCTGCTGAAGCTCCCTGCTACACTCCTAGGACTCAGATCAAAAGGAGGGGTGCAGGTGAATCAGAACTTACCTGACTATGCTAGCTGACTTGAGGGTTCACAGCAGACATGAAAGAAGACAAGATATAGGGAACACTGGCTTTTTAAACATTTAAAGTACACAGGGGATTGTTAAAAATAAATGCAATTTGTTTTAGCAGAAGTCCTGGCTGCCACTAAAAGCAGATGTCTTTTACTTCCTTTTTCAATGCCATTGCTTTCCTCCTCCTGGCACTTCCCTCATGCCCTCCTGCATATTCTCAGGTTTTACCGAACAAGCTAGGAACCACATAATCACAGGGCAAGCACATGAACACAAGTGCCTCCACAAAGGTAGTAGATGGAATGGATCCATCCTTCTCAACATAAGACACTGTCAGCATTATTTTAGGTGATGAGGAAACTGCATTCTGACTCAAGTCCATGACTTTACCACCTGTAAACTGCTTTTGATAGAATGCGTAAATTCTATTCAGCAGAACTTGAGTGTACAATAGAGATTTCACCCTATCTAGTTGTATACCACTCTAGGCTTTTTAACATTATACAAGGTATACTTTAAATTTATAAGCAAATCTCTCTGAAACAGAGAAAAAACCCAAATTGTCCTCCTCTAGTGCTTGTTTATGCTTGATAAAGTAACAAGATTAAGTAATCTGAGTTGTATAACCTGTTAAATATCAGGTTAATACAAGCACAGAAGCTGTACGAGTCAAATTCCTTCCCTTGCCCAAAGACAACCTTCTTTACCTGAGGAAATATTTCTTTACTACGTATGATCTTCCTTCCAATATACAAGCTGCAGTTTCTTTCAGCAGTCAAGCTATCCCCATCTGTTATATTCAATCATCTATTTGTCCAATGCCCCTTTATCCATGTTCTGTGGAGTCATGCCAACCATGTAAACTAAGCTCAGTACACAGCCACTATTCCTTCACTCGTTCCAGGGAACAGTACAGGCCAGGAAGCATCCCATAGGCATCTAGTAATGCCGCTGTGTTTAAATTAATGGGGGCAAAGCACATTTCTTCAACTAAAACTGTGCCCATATACAAAATTAATCAGAGACATACTGCAGACAAGTACGGAGACTGGAGTCACACAGAATTCTCCAAGCCTGAGGCTGCATGTTCCAGAATGGTTTTTTGTAGCTAAGACAACAAAAAGATGAAGACTCCTAGTAAGAGCTCTGTTTAGCATAGGTCCCAAACAAATTTTAGAAGTTTTAATTACAAGGAAAGTTTTACAGTATTAATACTAATTCTCATCGTGAGAATCACACTCTTTATACATGAACTTGCTATAAA